ACGGGGGGAGGGCGTTGCTAATGGCAAGGCTGGGCGACAGCATCGCGAGAAAGCCAGACAGAGCGCGCACGGGCAGTGGCAGCAGTAGACTCACGCTCAGTGGGTGTGGGGTCAGCGGGCAGAATAGCAGGAGGGTCTGGGCAGGGGAGCGTACCGTCAAGGTGTGCGGAAAGCGGTTCACCATCCTGCCGCTGGCCAGTGAGTTGGTGGCGGAGGTCGGCAAGCCACGCCTCGAACTCTAGGGGCTGACCTTCAGCGTCGAAGCGAAGCTCCGCCGCCATCAGGAACAGTCCAGTGCTGTGCAGGGCGGTGCAGCTAGGTGAAGTGCGGTGCAGTGCGATACAGTGCGGTGCAGTGCGGTACTGTGCGGTACAGTGCGGTACTGTGCGGTACAGTGCGGTGCAGTGCGGTGCAGTGCGGTACAGTGCGGTGCAGTGCGGTGTGGGGGGGGGGGGGGGGGGGGGGGGGGGGGGAACCGTACCAGTGAGGAGGACGGGGCCGGGGCTGGCCCGACGGGGCCGGGCGGGCGCGACGGGGCCGGGCTGATGCGACAGGGCCGGGACGGGGCGACGGGCCGAGCGGGCGCGACGGGGCCGGGCTGGGGCGACGGGGCCGGGCGAGTGCGGCAGGGCCGGGCCGGTGCGACGGGGGCCGGGCGAGCGGGACGGCGGCCGGGCTGGTGCGACGGGGCCGGGCGGCTGTGACGGGGCCGGGCAGGGTGCGACGGGGCCGGGCGGGTGCGACGGGGCCGGGCGGCTGCGACGGGGCCGGGCGAGCGCGACGGGCCGGGCAGGGTGCGACGGCGCCGGGCGGGCGCGACGGGGCCGGGCGGCGGCGACGGCGCCGGGCGGGCGCGACGGGGCCGGGCGGCGGCGACGGCGCCGGGCGGGCGCGACGGGGCCGGGCGGCGGCGACGGGGTCGGGCGGGCGCGACGGCGCCGGGCGGGCACGACGGGGCCGGCCGGCGGCGACGGGTACGACGCGGCCGAGGAGGGGCGCTACGGGGCCCAGGAGGGGCACGACGGGGGGCCCAGGAGAGGCGCTACGAAGCCCAGGAGGGGCGCGACGAGGCCCAGGAGGGGCGCTACGGGGCCTGGGAGGGGCGCGACGGGGCCTGGGAGGGGCGCGACGGGGCCCAGGAGGTGCGCTACAGGGCCCAAGGAGGGCGCGACGGGGCCCAGGAGGGGCGCTACGGGGCCCAGGAGGGGCGCGACGGGGCCCAGGAGGGGCGCTACGGAGCCCAGGAGGGGCGCGAAAGAGCCCAGGAGGGGCGCTACGATGCCTGGGAGGAGCGCGACGGGGCCCAGGAGGGGCGCTAGGGGGCCTGGGAGGAGCGCGACGGGGCCTGGGAGGGGCGTGACGTGGCCTGGGAGGGCGGTACAGGGCCCAGGAGGGGCGCTACGAAGCCCAGGAGGGGCGCGACGGGGCCCAGGAGGGGCGCTACGGGGCCCAGGAGGGGCGCGATACCATATCAAAATAATTGAATAATGGTTAAGTGAGAGTACACACAAATATATCTAAGTTTTGTATCCTCTAAGAGGTGACTCTATACAGTCTATACAAACATGACAAATACACATGTTTGACACTCCTAGCTAAAACCTCGCGCCATTTCATGGCTTCCTAGCTACCTAGCTCTCTTGACACATCCGCCCTGGGCCGGAGCATCAATCCATCCAGCCCACCAAAAAGATGCTCGTGGACAAATGGGTTGTTGAGATAAAGATACCATACTACAACAAATCAAGCAATACATGGTAAAGTAATCTAATCCATTCATCCGGCGGACCAGGCAAGCAGTAATGCAAGCAATCCCGAGGGGGGTCAAAATGCCCATCGGGTCTCAAAGCTGTCATGGGTACCACGTCCAGAAACACCCCTCCCACCGCCTCCACTAACTTCCTTGCAGCCTCATTCTGCGTTGCAAATTCATCCCAATTATATGGCGATTTGGATGGATCTGAAGGCTTGCTCGACGGCACTGACTCTTTGGTGCAGTCCCAATGCCCCTCAGGTGTGCTTCTGAAAATTATAAGCACATTGGGTGCAGCTGCTCTCACTGCAGTTAGTGTATGGTTGAGCTCAGGGATAAATATGGAGGTGTTAACAAAGTGGGCTCCCCGATTCAGCACAAGAACTGATACGGGTGGAAATGGGTCGCTCCTCAGATGTCTCGAAAATGGATCCTTGATGGGAGACCTTGCAAGCCTCCTGGGTAGGAAATACTGGTATTCGTATCCGCGGCTGTTTCCACTTGTAACTGAGTCTTTCACAAAGGTGATCATTCCGGGTGCTTGTGGATTAGGAGCCAGCTTCTTTTCCTGCCTACTCTGCTCCTGCATCCGCCTCTCCTGCTCCCTCAGCCGCCTCCTCCCCACCGTACCCCCCTTAACAACGACATCAAACCACGGAACAGAAATCCTTTTCGGGGGCTTCGCAACCAGAGTTAAGTTAGTGCTGACCACATCATCCCGCAGATTAAGGAACGTCGCACCTCCCAGCGCCATGCCATGGCACAGGAGCAGGTTCTTGTGCCGTTGCAGCTCCCGGTTCTTCGTCCGGCTCTTGCAGAACGCAGGGGCGAACTCGGCCAGCTCTAGTGAGCCCGTCTCTGCTTTCGCTGCCGCTGTTTCACCCTTGCTGTGCTGCAACTTCTGAGGCTGCACTGGCTGCTGCTGCTGCCCTTGCTGGTGCTGCTCCTTTTTCTCCTCCCTGTTCTGCTCCTCCTGCTGCCTCCCTTGCTTCAGACTACCAGGCATTGACTCCTGCCTCAAATGATTCCTCAACGATTTAAACAGCATTTCATTTATCGAATCCCCCACTACAAGCACAGTCAGCCCCTTAAGCTTCTCCACCAGTTTCCCTCTGTCCACCTCTCCCCACTCCCCACACCTCTCCTCCGGCCTCCACTTATACTTCACCGTATCCCTCACCTTCCATTCCTCTGCCGAACCTCCTGCCAGAGCTATCTCATCCGCTTCCTTAAACGCGACGTTCTTATAACGGGAGTTATTTTGCTGAGGCTCGTTGATCCATCTATCGTCACACTGCCAACCCGCAGAACCGGTGTGAGGTTGGGTCCAGGGGAGGGTGCGGGGAGTGGGGTCCAGCTGCCACGTGGCGTTTGCTGAGAGGCACGCGAGGCGGGTCCGGAACGAGAGGAGCTGATTGGCTGACGTGATGCGGGAACCGGGGATGAGTGGGGAGGAGGGGGAGGTGGGAGTAGGAGAATTCGCGATCGCATCAGGCTTGTTGGGAGGGGCGCTGCTGCTAGGAGGAGCGGTGCTGCTGCTAGGGGGAGCTGCGCTGCTGCTAGGGGGAACGCTGCTGCTAGGGGGAACGCTGCTGCTAGGGGGAGCGCTGCTGCTAGGTTCAGCGCTGCTGCTAGGGGCAGGGGCGCTGCTGCTAGGGGGAGGGGCGCTGCTGCTAGGGGGATCGGTGCTGGTAGGGGGAGCGGTGCTGCTGGTAGGGGGAGCGGTGCTGCTGGTAGGGGGAGCGGTGCTGCTGATAGGGGGAGGGGCGCTGCTGGTAGGGGGAGCGGTGCTGCTGATAGGGGGAGGGGCGCTGCTGGTAGGGGGAGCGGTGCTGCTGATAGGGGGAGGGGCGCTGCTGGTAGGGGGAGGCGAAGCTGCGGGCATAGTCGGGGTAACCATAGAGATGCCAGGTGAAGCTGCTGGTGTAGACGCGGTAACCATAGAGATGCCAGGTGAAGCTGCTGGTGTAGACGCGGTAACCATAGAGATGCCAGGTGAAGCTGCTGGTGTAGACGCGGTAACCATTGGCGTGGTAAGCATAGACGCGGTAACCATCGGCGTGGTAACCATGGAGGTGGTCACCATCGGCGTGGTAACCGTGGCCGGGGAACGCAGCAGCAGCCACGATTGGGGCACGGCGTGCGAAGTGAGCCAGTAGTAGAGAGACAGTATTGCGAGGAAGATCGTCGCCTGGACCAGCAGCGTGCGGTGGCTCGAAACGGCACTACTGCTCGAGGCTTCCGTCACCATTGTGATCGATTGTAGCGAGGTGATGCCTTGATTTCCAGCAGCTTAGACCGTCGCCTGGACCGTCGCCTGGACCGTGGCCAGGACCAGTCTTAGACCGCCGCCATCGTGATCGATTATAGCGCGGTTGATGCCTTGGACTCCAGCAGCTCAGACCGTCGCCTGGACCAGCGGCGTGCAGCGGCTTGAAACCGCACTATTCCTGCTCCAGGCGTCCCCGGCCATTGTGGTCAGTGTCTTGAACAAGACCGCACTACAATCTGAATTCGGAACTGACGGTTATCAATGCCATTGCAACTCGTCATCGCTATCTCGCAGCTCGGTCCAATCTAGAATCCGAACCCGAATCTGGCGGCTTTCTATGGAACTAAATTCTGCATTGCTGCCAGAAGCTTAGTCCATACTGAAATCTGAATGCGGCTCTGATGGCTTCAATGTCATTTCAAATCTGCCTTGCCCCTAGGCAAATCAGCCAGATCAATACTACACGCCTGATCAGCCATTCCGGAATCGACGGATTCGACAAGTACACCGGGACCGTTCGCTGGCCAATTTCACCGGCATGGCGAGGGGAATCAGTCATGTGGAACATCGATCGAGGGTCGAGGCTTGTGGGTTCGCCGAACCCAATTTGCGAAACGTGACGTCAGCATACGACATCGTCGCGTCGGTTCGGTTTCCCAAACCAAGAGCCCCCAAAACGCGTGCCCCTTCTCATGCCGAATCCGAAGCGCGGCCATCAGCCGCCCAGAGCTGCCACGCAAACATCAATGTCACTCCGTGGAGCCGTTCACTGGCAATTTGCCTAGGGGAACGGGAAGGGGAACGGGCGACCAAATCCCTCGCGCATGGAATTTGCGAGGCCAAACCGACGTGAAACTTTTTGTGTGCCCCAGTACTTTGGTTATCATAACGTCGCCGGCTCATGATTACGCCAGTCACGACTGCATGCCTGGATACGACAAACTAGCGGGCAATGAAGAGTGGGGCCAATCAAAAGCCATGTTAGCCCATCGCACTTTCGTCGAAAATCTAGCGGAGAAAATGTGTTTCACACAATTTTGTCAAAACTGCCCCTAGCTCGCTAACCCGCACTCGCTAGCCCCTAGCTCGCTGGCCCTGCGCTCGCCAGACCCTAGCCCGCCGGTCCCCAGCTAGCCGGCCCCTAGCTCGCCGGCCCCCAGCTCCACCGGCACCGGCCTCGCCGGCCACAGCCCACGCCTGCCCCGCGCCGTCCAGCCACCGAGCCGCCGAGCCGCAGTGCCGCCGCGCCGCTCTGCCACCCCGACCTACCGGCCTTGGCTCCCTTCAAAGCCTGCACTACTTCCGGCTGTCTCCACTGCTCTCCATCACACTCCACCGCACTCCACCGCTCTCCACCGTTCTCCACTGCACTCCACCTCACTCCACCGCTCTTTGCCGCCCTCCTCCGCCTTTCCTCCTCCCCTTGTCAGCTGTAGTCCGCTTCTGCAGCCGTGGTGATGGCGGAATCACTGCTCCACCTGGACGCGGAGGGTCGAGCCGTTGAGTTTGAGGCGTGGCTCGTCGACCTCCGCCGCACCTGCTGCCCTCCCTGCCGCCCCCACGTCCGCTGAGTGTGAGGCTTTTGTCACTCCCGATCTTGCCTGCGCTGTCTGGGACTCACGCGACGCTGTTGCTCAGCTTGCCGTTAGCCACGCCCTCCCCCTGTCCGAGTGACCCCGCTTTACCGCTGTAGCGAATGCCAAGGACTACTTAGATACCGTCATCGCGCACTATTCCACCCCTACCTCAGCCTCAGCCGGCCGCGTGATCCTCCCCATGCTTTTCCCTGACCTTACGTCCTTCCCCACTGTCACTGACCTTGCCACGCATCTCCGCGCACTGGAGGCTAGCTACCGCGCCGCTAGTACTGAGGCACAGCTCTTTGCATTCCTGCCGACGCTCTCGCTACCCTTTACCTCATTACCACGCGCCTAGCTGACCGCCTAGCCACTGCCCGCGAACACTTAGTCAGCACTCAAGTGACCTCACCTTCCCTGCATTTGTCACCGCCCTGTCCGCGATAGAGACCCGCCAGCGCACTATCGCTTAGTCTAGCGATACTGCGCCGGTCCCTATCTTCCAGGGCTGTGCTCACTCCTAGTGCACTTACTCTGACGATTCTGCCGATGTTGCTGAGACAGCCCCTGCTGCTGAGACCACTGCCGTGGCCTCAGTGCAGTAGCGTTAGGGTAGGGACCGCCACCCCAAGGGGGGGCATGGTGGAGGGAAGGATGGTGGGGGTGGTGGGGGTGGTGGAGGTGGAGGTGGGGATAGTGGTGCAGACGAGGCAACCAGGGCTGGTGCCCCGGAGTAGCAGTAGCCGCAGCAGCTACAGCAGCAGCCTCAGCAGTAGCAACAGCAAAAGCCGCCGTGGAGACCCCCGCCGCCGTGGTGGCCTGGTGGCGCTGGTAGTGGTGGTCGTGGTGGTGCCCCGCGTAGCTCGGTGTCGGGTGGCGGCTCCAATGTGGCCACCTGCCAGTACCAGCTCCAGACCGCCCCCCTGCCGCAACACCGTCTGCGATTGTTCAGGTCATACCGCCGCCCGCTGCTACTACTGCTTTGATGACCTCTACCGTCTCCGCTTTGGTCCCACCTCGGACCCTCCTGACTGGTACGCCCTGGCCTGCCGCCGTGTGCCCGTCTTTGAGCTTGACATGGATGTATGTCATGTATGCTGATGACTCTAGTGTGACCGGATCTTATTTCCCTGTGTTGCCTTGTGTAGGTGTACCCCCTGTCTGCAGTCTAGATTCCCCTACTACATCGGGCGTAGGACCTCCTGCTCGGTTTAGCTTAGGCTCTACGCTAGCCCCTCCGCCAGCCGCCGCTACTGCAAACGCTACTGCCTCGCTCTCTTTCACGCTCGACTCTGGCGCGTCTGCCTGCTTCTTCCGCGACCACACTTCGCTCACGCCGCTTGCTGCCCCTGCCGCTGTAGCGCTGGCTGACCCCTCCTCAAGTCCGGTAGTCGCACGTAGCTCCACGACCCTTCTCTGTCCGGCGGTCCCCTCCAACTCTCTTACAGGCTTGCACATCCCCTCGTTCTCCAGGAACCTAGTCGGTGTCGGCTGTCTTCAGGACCTTGGCGTCACCACTACGTTCCCTGGACACGAGCGGTGCACCATCTGTATTGAGGCCGCCACTGGTGCCCCTCTTACGACATTCCCCAAGGACCCCGTGTCTGGCCCGTTCATGCTGGACACTACGCCCCCCCCAGTCGGAGCATCCCCCTAGGTCGCCGCGTCCACTCTGGTAGCTGCAACATGCTCGTGTCGGTCGCTCACCCACCATTTCCTACTGTGGCACCACCATCTAGGTCACCCCGCTCTACCGCGTCTGTGTCACATGTCCCATCACGGGCTTGTGCGTGGTCTCCCTGCGTCGCTCCCTGCCCTCCCTCCCTCGCCTGCACCGCCGTGCACGCATTGCGTCGAGGGCCGGCTGCACCGTGCTCCCAACTCCTCCTCGCTCCCCCATGCCACTGCGCCACTCCAGACCCTGCACCAGTAGACGTTTGGGGTCCCGCTCCTGTCCCTGGGCCATGTCGCGAGCGCTACTTTCTTGTGCTTGTCGACGACTTCACGTGCTACACCATGGTGTTTCCTCTGGAGCGGAAGGCCGACGTGCCTGACGCCCTTCTCTCGTGGGTCGTAGGTGCGCGAGTCCATCGCGGCCTCCCCGTGATGCGTCTCCACTCCGACCGTGGTGGCGAGTTTGCCTCCGGACGGCTTGGCCAATTCTGTCGTACGGAGGGCATCACCCAGTCGTACCCCGCAGCAGAATGGGGTCGTTGAGCGATGCATCGGTTTGGTCATGGAAGCGGCTTGTACCTCCATAATCCATATCGGTGCACCCCAATTTCTGTGGCCGTTCGCTATTCGCTACGCCGCTCACCAGCTTAACATGTGGCCACACTCCCAGACGCCGCAGGTTTTGCCGACCCTACTCTGGACCGGGTTCCCTGGTTACGCACCTCCGTTCCACATCTGGGGCTACCTTGCTCACGTTCGTGCCTTTGGCACGGACAAGCTCACTGCCCGCACTATCCCTTATGTCTTCCTTGGTTTCCCCCTCAACGCGTCTGACTGGCACTTTTACCACTCGCCGTCTCACCGTTTCTTTCACTCCCGTGACGTCACTTTTGACGTGTCTGTCTCTTTCTACACCCGCTTTCTCCACCAAGGTCTCCCCTTTGCCCCGTCCCGGTTCTTGGTCCCCACTCCCCGGATGGCCCTTGCTCCTTTCCTCTCCATCCTACCCCGTATGGTGTGTCTCAAGTCACTCCCCTCCCGTCGGTTGTCCCGGTCGAGGAGTCGGCTGACTCCAGGGGCCCCGCGGCTTCGGTGTCGCCGCTTGTCTCTGCCCCCGTGTCCCCTCCTCCGCCGCCGCTGCAGCAGCCGCCATCGCCGCCGCCGCAGCCGCAGATGCAGTCGTCGCACCCGCAGCTGGAGTCGCCGCCGCCTCAGGGGTCCGCGCGCTATGGGGGTGCGGGCATTGAGGAGGGTGCTAGTCCTGGGGGTACTGTCGTGGCTTATCCCGGCGGTCCTAGGGGTGGCACCAGTGCTGGAGAGACTTCTCGTTTTGCGGGTGCTGGTTCGGGGGGTGCTAGTCTGGGTTTACTGTCGTGGCTGGTCACAGCGGTCCTAGGGGTGGCACTGGTGTTGGAGATGGTTCTCGCTCTGGGGGTGTTTCGGAGGTAGCCGTGATGCAGCTGGAGGTTCTGGTATCGGCGTGGAGCAGCAATAGCAGCAATCGCCATCGGTGTCCGCCCTTCGCCTCCTCGGTCTTCCCTCCCCACACCGCCCACCTATGACTCCTCCACCTGTCTACGGTACTGTGTTTCCTCTGACGGTCTTGTCTCCATCATATTTTCCCCCACCTTCTCCTCCTGTGTCTCCTGACCCCACGCCTCCGTCCCACTTCTGGTCTCATCGTCCCTCTCGTGCTCTTCCTGTCTCTTCTATCCGGCACTCTCATCCTACGTTGCTTCATTCCCACGCGTCTCGTCCCCCCCTCCTCCCGTCGCCTCCTTCGTCGTCGCTGGCTGTCGCTCCGCCTCCCCTGTCTAACTTCCTCCATGCCGCTAGTCTTCTTTTTCCTCGGGGTCCTCGCCTCTCTTGTTACAGACCTTTCTGTTCCTCTCTCTAGACTTGACGCTCTTGTCGCTGCCATCACAGAGTTTGCCACTACCCGCCGCCTTGACTACGCCACCGCTCTGGTCTCAGAACCTGCCCATCCTCCGTCCGTCGAGGGTGCACCTGCCCTTGGCAGTGACGTTCTAGAGGACCGGTAGTACGAGCTAGCTTTCTTGTCCGAGGCCTCTCCTCATCTCTGCTCCATGCTGCTAGTCCTTGAGGTTAACCCAGATGCCCTTGACATCCCGACCCCTCGCACTTACGCTGAGGCGACCTCGGGACCCT